TTCTGTTATTTACTTTAAGATTGCTTGCATTTTTGCGGTATTTTCGTTTAGCTTTGTTTTGGCGCGAATTCTTGAAACGCATAATAATAAAACGTGCTCAGTTAGTCAGAAAAATTTATTCTATGCGTGGACAAACAAGGCGTGCGACCGCACGCCTTTCCTGGGAAAGCCTGATATATATATATATATATATATATATATATATATATATATATATATATATATATATATATATATGTATATATATATATATATGTATATATATATATATATATATATATATATATATATATATATATATATATATATATATATATATATATATATATATATATATATATATATATATATATGTATTTATGTATGTATGTATGTATGTATGTATGTATGTATGTATGTATGTATGTATGTATGTATGTATGTATATATATATATATATATATATATATATATATATATATATGTATGTATGTATGTATGTATGTATGTATATATATATATATACATATATATATATATATATATATATATATATTATATATATATATATATATATATATATATATATATATATATATATATATATATCAGATGTATCATGAGCCTTAAAAAAAATCAGTAAAACAATTATATAAAAGTACCTTAAAACTTAATTTTTAACAAAGAAAATTTAAGTTAAAAAAAGGAAAAAACCTAAAACTTGGCTAACTTTTTAGAAAGTAACACAAAAAGTTAAGTAAAAATTAAAAACATTTTTTTTTATTCACATTTTGAAGTAGAAACTTTTACATTTCATTACTAACTTATTTTTACTTACTTTACATTATACTTACTTTTACTACATTATATTACTTCAACATTAAAGTTATAAAAGAGAAGGGCAAGGAGATGAACTTTTATTTACTCATCCAGTTTAATATTTTATTGTAGGGATGGGTTTATAAAACCTTTACTAAATTGAACAACTTTTCTGTTGATATAATATACTAAATTGAAGAGTCTCGTGCAAATAAAATATAAACTTTATAGCTATTAGGGTAGCTATTAGAGTTTGTTCTTACTCTTTCAGTTTTAAAGCCTTTTTTTGTAAATATTAAGGTGTAGTAATGAGTTTGGGTAAAATATTAAAGTTTCATTCATTACAGAAAAAAAAAATAATGGCCACCAATCATAGCATCAAATAGAAAAAAAAATACAACCTTAAAAAATCTTTTCTTAAAGAAATAGTATAATGACTATTAATACTTTTTTAGTGTAAAATCATATTTTATGAATTCAAGATAAAAATAAAATATAAAAACAAAACAAAAATTTAATAATTAAAACTCCATTTATAACAATAATTTTTACAGTCAAGACGACTGTAAATAAAAAACAAAGAAAAATGAAAATACTGAATTTCCAATTAGCAACTGCCTGAGTAATTAAACTGCCTCTCTCAGCAGTGGTAATACTAGTTTTATCTAAAAAAAAATCAATTTTAATTTTAATTTTTTCCCAACAAGGCTGCAAGCAAGCACTTTTAAGTTAGGAGTTACTAGGAAAGTTGGAGGTTGTATGAGTCAGGAAAACATGAAGATAGGAACAAAGAGTTAGAGAGTAAGGAAAAAATTTGATGAATAAAAGTTTTAAGAGCATGCAGGGACAGATACAGTAAACAAGACACTTAGCTGAATGATGATTCAAATTAGAATGAGTTTTAGCTGATGAAACTAGAGATGATAAATTCTTTAAGCAGCAACCAAGATAGTATTTGCAGAAAAAAGAAAGAGATGCAACTTTATGATGATAGGAAAGAGGCTCAAGCTTGGCAGATAGAGTCAAACTGCATTTACAATGCGTAAATGTGTAGTTGGAATCATTAGAATAACCAGCCCAAATATGACAACAGTAATCCATACAACGGCGAAAGAGGGATTTGTAGAAGTAGTGAATGGAATCAGAAGAAAATGGCGAGCACGATAAAGAGAAACAACCTTAGCAGATGCTAATTTAGCAATCGATTATATATATGGTTTCCAATAAAGGTCAGTAGTAAATGATAATCCTAGAAGATGTAAAGAAGAGGTATTGAGGTTATAATAAAGATGGCAGACGTGATTTTGCAATACCAAAATATAAAGAAAAAGAATATTAAAAGAAGAAATACTAAGTTAAACTATAACTATTAGTTAATTATTAAGAAAGATCTTTAAAAATAATAATCTTAAAATGAAAAAAATTAAAACAAGTAAACCAAACACAAGAAAGACAAAGAACCAGAACAAAATCACAACCACACCATTCGAAAGACAGAATAATGATAGTAAACAAAGCATCATACACAAATGTAATGAGTGCGATGATGTGAAAGAACGTGTGCTACTTCGTGTGCTACTTCGTGTCACAAAGAATGTTCTTATCTATCAGAAAAGGAATTTAAATCTGTGCACCAGATCGTTCTGTTAACTTAAAATGGTTTTGTAACAAATGTAAAAATAATAATCAATAAATCAAATCCCAAAGAATCCAAACAAAATCAAAATGATTGATAACAACAACAAATTATTAATGTATTTACTTAACGAAAATATGAAACTAATTAATAAAATAAAATTTATGTTAGCAATTAATATTAAACTACAGAGCCAAGTAAATAAACAAATCAATGAAGTCTCTGTAGAGTCAGGTAACATTATACCTTCATGTTATTTTGTTAATAAACAAGTACAAAAAATATTGTAAATACTACCTTGGATGATGATGAAAGAATACTACGGAATGAAACAAATATATATATATATATATATATATATATATATATATATATATATATATATATATATATATATATATATATATATATATATATATATATATATATATATATATATATATATATATATATATGTATACATATATATATATATATATATATATATATATATATATATATATATATACATATATATATATATATATATATATATATATATATATATATATATATATATATATATATATATATATATATATATATATTAGTGAAATTGTTATAAGGCAAATTTCTCTAAGTAAGAAATATGAAACAATCCAACTTGTAACTAATAATGTAAAAGATAAACAGTTAAAAAGCAGTGTTCATGAAATTAAGAAAAAACTCAACGGAGACATAGCAATGCTGTGTGAGAATCCTGAAATTATGAAAATTAACTAAACATATTGAGGAAATAGATGACAAAGTGGTAATACATAATTATGATCAAGATAATAGTAAGATTAGAGATGTCTATGGAAATAATGAGTCTAAATTTAAATGAAAATAATGAACACTTTAGACAAGGAAATTATTGAAGAAATGAAATCCTATTACATGTACCTGATGCTACCCTAAACATCGTTAAGAGAAAACTCATCAGAAACAAAACTAGTGAACTGATTATCTTAGATGAAGATGAAAAACAAAAAAAATACCTGATGGAGAAAAGAAATTTCAAGTTATCTGTGTATTGGCAGGTAGTTCATATTCATAATCATATAAATGTCATTATTTGATACAACTGTAAAGGCTATGGACACATTTCAAAAATTGCAAACATGATGAACCTACCTGTAAGTATTGTGCAAGAAACCACAAGTCTTATAAATGTGACTATCAAGACAAGTTATGCATTCATTGCTGTTGGTTTAATAAAGAAAACAAAAACACTAATCATCCATGTGACCACTGTGCACATGAGAGATAATGTCCAATATTCAATGACATAAAAGAGAAAGTATGAGAAACCCTAAAACAGTTTACGAGAGCAAATTGCAGTTCACGCAAAAATATAATTTTTAGAAGTTTAATTATCATTGTAACTAAAATAAAAAATGCAGTCATTTTAATAATTATTTTTAATAAATTTTAAAATACCTGCATTCTATTACAATAAGAAAAACTTTTTTTATAAAACGCTCATGTAAAGAATTTAGAAGAGCATATATATATATATATATATATATATATATATATATATATATATATATATATATATATATATATATATATATATATATATATATATATATATATATATATATATATATATATATATATATATATATATATATTCCTATAATTTTAGTTTACCATTTTGTGGTAAAAAATTTTGTAAATTTATAAGCTTAATTCTCTTTTTAATCCTAAAAAATACTGTTGATGTTCATTCAAACTATTTATACAGTGCTGGTGACAACACTGATAGAGGAAATACTGATAGATAAATACTAAACTCAATAATTTGTTGTCTAACCACCAAGTGTAATTTTTATCTAGCCAATGCTCATACATAATCAAATAATTTTGAAATTCTTTGAAAACATTCATGGATTTTATTTCTAAAAAATGGTGAAATTGTGGATGGAGTTAATTGAAAAATGTTTTGATCAATTTCTAAAATGTGGTCAAGAAGACATCCAGTTCTTCATGATTTGAATGGACATTCAAGCAAAAAATCTTAATGGTATTTAAAAATCTTTGTAAGGCAAATGTTATCATCACTTATATTCTATTTTACCTATAAAATTGATTTTTTTATCAAAGCCCTAATATGTAGTTTGATAAGCAAATCACGAAATTCCATTACAAAGAATTTTATGCAGTTATAGCTGTATAACAAGAACTGATTTGCTTATCAAACTACATATTAGGGCTTTGATAAAAAAGATTTTTTTAAATTTTTGTTTTAGCTAAAGTTAAAAATTGCCTTTTTGTCAAATCAGCAACTTCTAACCTTCAGCAACTTCTGAACCAAATATTAATTCTGAGATGCATGAAACAAAAACTTAGGCTATACTAAAAAATTATACAACATTGTCAATGAACAACAACTTTGGTAATTTAGGTCAGCCTAATTTTGTTAACTAATTTATTTAAAATAAATTTTAGTTAAATAATTTTTAGTTAGTAAAATGGGGTAATGTTATTTAAATGTTTAGAAAATATCTAACATATTATTCATAAAAATAATTATAAATACCTGGCATAAAAAAGTCTTTGCATTTACAAACACTATGAACATGATCTGTAAGTTGTTCAAGCCAGCATGTGTCTAATGAATAACTATCAAAATATTTTAACTTTAAAGAACCACATTTTGTTTTATAAGGAGCTTCCAAGTTAATAATCTAAAGATTTTACAAATATCTAGTTTTATGACTTAAATTAAAATGATATATAAAAAAAATTAAATACTCAATATATAAAAATATGAATTGGTTTAAGAGAACACCAAGAAAAAGTAAAATAATAAGCAAACTAATAATATAGGAATCAATAACAATCAGCAGAATCAAATATCTTTAAACCTAACATGTAATATCAAAAAAATATTTTGCTTTTTCTGGTAAAGAAAAAATATTATAACCATTATAAAATTTTGAATTTATAAAGAAACAAAAAATAAAAAATTAAGATTGGAACATTAAAAAAATAAACAACAAAAACAAAACAAAAAAACATTAGTATTTATGTTGAAAGAAAAAAAAAAAGAATAAAATTTTATAAATTTACACAACTATTTATGTCATGTTTATTTATTTATGTATTTATTTAGCAACTTAACTCTAGTTTAGTAATTTTTACAAAATAAATGTTTCCTACCACAAAATAAATGTTCACTATATAAATTTATTATACTTAAGTGTTTGAAGCAGTTTTTTTGGATTTTTTATAGTCCAGCTGAACAAACCCATAAGATATTTCCTGGTATAGTTTCAAATCAAACACAAACAATGACTTCTGCCCTGCTCTATTTAATAGATATTTAATAGAAGCCAATACAATAGACTATAATAGTCTATTGCATTGGCTGCTATTGAAAATCTATTGAATAAAGCAGGGCAGAAGTCATTGTTTGTGTTTGGTTTGAAACTATAGTAGGAAATAGCTTATGGGTTTGTTCAGCTGGACTATAAAAAATCCAAAAAATACAATACTATTGTATTTTTTGGATTTTTTTTTATAAAAGCATTTTTTTCATAAAAGCAGCCAATACAATAGTGACTATTGTCAATATTCACTATTGTATTGGCTGCTTTTATGAAAATAACTAGCTTGTCTAGCGTAATGTTGATGTAACTCACTATTTTGAATAGAACGGTTTAAATATATCATTTTCAGTTGATGTAACATTGTGAATGAAACAGAGTGAATTAAAAACTATTCTATTTTTTATACTGATCTGTATTTTTGGTTTTATATTTTTTTGTGTTTTTTGATTTTATATTTTTTTTGTATTTTTTGTATTTGATTTTATATTTTTTTTATATTTGTTTTTTTATTGTTTAAGGGGCTATCCCCCCATAAAATTTCAAAATTTTCAATTTTTTTTTTTTTTTTTAATTTTAACTCTTTCAAACTATGCAGAATCATAAAATTTGTTTTGAATGTATCAGATTAATCTTTAACTATCTTAAATTGTCTATTTAAGTTAACCACCTCTTAAGTAATTTCCTTAGCAACGCCATAGCAACGCACTTAAACAATTTTATACACCATACTTTTACCTTAATTTCATCCAAAATAGTGTTACACTTGCAATGCATAAGCTTGAACAACTTCTTGATGCGTTTTTCTGGAATTTACCAATACCTTGGTACATCAAGTACGACAATATTCTTCAGTTCAGTCAGTTCTTGAGATTTTATTAGGTTAGTTTAATTAGTAAAAATGGGAAAAGCTTGTCGAGTTAAGAAATGTACACAAACTCATAAAAAATGGAAAAGGTTTATGGAAAATAATCAAAATTCTGTTAATACTGTTATTGTATCTGATAGTACTAATATCGAATTGCCGACAATAAATCCAAGTGCCCCTAACATCACTTGTGTTACTGAACCAATTTTTGAAAATCCACCTAATTTATCAGCTTCAGCTCATAAAATCGAAAATTTAAAAGATAAAATTATTTCAAAACCTGCCATATCTGGTTATCTTATAATTTATGTTGCTGTTTTAATGTCTATTTTAAGTTCTGTTTTGTGTCCAGAGTGTGGTTGTTCAACAATCTCACTAAGTGAGAGATATACTCAACGACGTGGTTTATCATCCTTACTATATCTTAAGTGTATGAAAAGAGCTTGTAACTATTTTCAAAAGTTCTACACTTCTAACGATGACAAATATAAAAGGATTTGATATCAATAAACAAGTAATTTATTGTATGCGATTATTTGGTCATGGATATGCAGGCATCAAAAAATTTTGTACCATTATGAATCTACCTAAGCCAATGACCAAAAACAATTTTGAAAAACTGATAAAAGTAATTTCAAAAGCTGTTAAAAATGTAGCAGAACGAACAATGTTAAATGCTGCTAATAAATTGCAAAATACAGCTTTGAAAGTAACCGATATTGTTTATCTTGCGATGGAACATGGCAAAAATGAGGATACTCATCACTCAATGGAGTCTTTTCTGCCATCTCTACTGCTAGTGGCAAAATTTTAAATGTTGAAATCATGTCCAGATATTGTAAAGGTTGTAATTTAACTCAAAGCCTCCAAAAATCTGACCTAACTGGTGTTGGCATCACTATTTCATGTTGCTTCCTCAAAAAATAATAGCTTACATTTCCCACACTACCTCACTGGTGCAGACAGCTGGTGCAAATACAATGCCAATAAAATAAATAAGACATCAACCTATAAGCCGGAACCGGGTTTACCAATGGATGTCATAATGAAAGTAAGAACTATATTTAAGGATTTAAGGAAAGACATTGAGTTACAAAAATGTTGGCACGGTAAGACACAAAATGCCAATGAGTCTTTTTATGGAATGATTTGGAAGCGTATACCAAAACAAACATTTGTATCACTTACCCAATTAACAATTGGTGCATATGATGCTGTTGCCAATTTTAATATTGGAGCAAAAGCATCTATTAATATTTTGAAGCAACTGGACATGGAACCAGGCTTTCATATGATTGCAGAATGCAAATCATTAAATAATAAAAGATTACAAAAAGCAGAAATTAGAATGAACCCTGTTAAAAAGTTAAGAAGGCAAGTATTACGTGTCAAGAAACTGAAGAAGAATGAGAAAATAATTGAAAAAGAAGGTGACTTGTATGTTCCTGGTGGATTTTAAAAACTTTGTTTATGTTTCAACAGTTTTTATGAAAAAAATGGTATTGTTTTCAAAAATTTTAACTTAAATTGTCTTTTTCTCAAAATAGAAATTTGTGCATGCCGGCCAAATTATCTGGAGAACCGTATTACATTTTTGTATGAAATTTTCAGGAAGTGTTTATCATATTATACTCTGTGAAATGAATGGATTGGAATTTATTTATTTTGTTAAAAAACATATATATATGACCTAAAATCAATGAAAATTTTGACCATGATCTTTAATTGCGCCATTTTGATGATGGCAAAATGTTATGAAAAATCTGATCCATTCATTTCACAGCCCTACTTTATGATAATATTGTATTAAAATTTTAAAAGGTAAATATGTACACATATTCTTATATTTTGGCCAGCGTGAAGTTACTTTTTGGTCATTTTAGGGGTATTTTTTGGTTACCAAGGAAACCACCAATTTTTTTTTTAATTTTTTTTTTTAAAAGGTTTATATTTTACTAAAACCTAGAAACCCATAACATTTTTTTTTTTAAATACTTAGATTTAAAAACAGAGGGGGGTAGCCCCTTAACCATTGTGCGGAAAGATATCGAGAATTAAAAAATTAATATATCATGTAATAATCAGGGCCGGCGCGAGTAGGTGTCACGTGTGGGGGGGGGGGGGGTGTCATTACAAAAAAAAAAAAAAAGTCCTCGTTTTCCAAAACGTGCCGACTACTATGACGACATTTGCCGATTGTCTAACCTATCTATCGAAAGAGTCGACATTTGCCGACTAACTAGTCTAAAAGGGTCCAATTTGCCGACTAAGAGTCTAGTTTGCCGACTAAAAACCATTGATGGGGGGAAGGGGGGAAACACCTCTATCGCGCCGGCCTTGATGATAATGTTCAAGATTTTATATATAATAAAAAAAAAATCTATAATAGATAATTTTCGAGACTTATTATCCGACTCATTCGCCGACTCATCGCCGAATTCATTCGCCGACTCACTCATAAAATAAGAGCATATTGCATACAAAGTCAATTGATTGCATAGATCAAAACGTGGCTCTGAAACAGAAAACAAAGAGTAGTATTGGGTGATTCTATATCTGAATGGAAAAACGTTGCTAGCGGTGTACCTCAGGGTTCTGTATTAGGCCCTCTTTTACTTGTTCTCTATGTCAATGATAAGACCTTAAGGTCTTCTGCAAGTCTCCGCGTTCTTTTTTTGTATATATTTTCTTTTGTTGTATAACGATTTTTATCTTAACTATCTTATTGTATAAACTATATTGAATATTCAAGAAAAAAAAAAAAAAATGATTTACCAACCATATACACCATTCTATAAAACTTTACGCTAACGATAATAAGATAATCGGAGTTATTAAGACACCAGAAGATGCTAATCTACTACAAAAAGATATCGATAATACAGTCCTACGGTGTAAAAAAAGACATCTAAATTTAATTTAAAAAAAATGCAAAGTCATGCAATTTAACTGTAGTAAAACGAAGTCTAACGCAAAATATTTTATATCAGGATGCAGTGACCACGGACAACAACAAGAAATTGAATTAACCTCCTTAGAGAGAGATCTTGGAGTTTTGAATTTCGATGACCTTAAAAAAAAAATCAAGTTGAAGCAGCTGCTGCTAAAGCGAATTAAGCACTTGGTACCCTAAAGAAAACATTTAAAAGTAGAGGGTTATCTCTCTGGAAGTCTCTTTATACAACCTACGTCCGCCTACACACTGAGTTTGCTACACAAGCTCAATTTGTGGTCACCCTATTTAAAGAAAGATATAAAAACTCTTGAGCGAATACAAAAAAGAGCAACTAAAGTTATATCTGATATAGCACACTTACCATACGATGTAAGACTCAAAAGACTATGTTTAACAACACTTGAATTAAGAAGAACAAGAGCTGATCTTATTCAATGTTTTAAGTTTATCCGTGGTTTTGATCTCATCACTTGGCAAAATGAACCACTACCAGCGTGCTCACTTAAAATCGAAGGTCCAGCGTGTAACACCAGG